GTGCACAAAAAAATATTGAAAGAGAACAAAAACCGAAAAAATATAACAAAACGAAAAAAAAAAAAAACGAGTCAACAGAGCCCAACAACAAGTGCCGAAAGTCGACTCGATGGCGGCATTGGTGTGTTATTAAACAAATAGCTGGCCACTGTCTTCAGTTGAAGGGACTGAGAGAGATAAAGCGCGAGCGAGAGCCAGAGAGCGGCAACAAAAACACGTCGCGTTCCTTCACCCTGTGTTTGCTTTCCAAAACAAACCAATTGTATAAAAACCAAAATAAATCAACAGAAATTGTGACGTTAGGCGTCACATGCGAATTTGTGGTGGTCGGTCGATAATTTAAGAATCGTCTACATAAATTTATATTTGAAAAAAAAAAAAAAAGAATTTTTAATTTTAAACTAATTTTTTAAAGTAGAGAAAATAAAAATGTATAATTTTGACTGTGCTTGCCGTAAACTCTTTATATTTTTGTTAATTCCGAATTGTAATTCCTTATCACAGCCCGATGACAATCGACCATCGAAAAGCTGGCATCTCTGCCGCGCGCTTTTAAAATCTTTTGGCAAGGTGGCAGCTTAGCAATCTAACTGTTTCTGGTGCGCGACAGAAAAGACTATTCGTAAATAGCTATGCTGAAACGCGAGTTGCAAAGCATTCAGCTAAAGCTGTCCGATTTGGAGGAATATGAATCTGTACGAAGGCGCAACAAAATAAAAGCCGCTATTGATGCAGGCAGGCCAGCATCTGCAACGGCTACAGCCACCGAAACAGCGCTATCTACCACCAGCGAGTCGACCTCCGAGACACCCGTCACCCAGCGGCAGATAGACGACCTGCCGCCAACAACTGGCTGGTCAACAGCTGTGGTTACCAGCAGTAGCAACACCAATTCCGGTTCCACGGAGGATGACACCAGCGTAGTGGCCGTAGCTGATGACAACGATACAGCCGCCGAGCTCAGCGATGACGGCTGGGTGGACGTTGACGAGGAGGACGGCGCCCGAGGTGGCGGGTAATGTAACTGCAGAGCTATAATGGGCCAAAGGAGCACACATACACCATATACTCACACATACAGGCGTACTTACGTACATGCATATGTACAAAATACCTTAGATGTTCATCAATATGTCCGATGCTCATCATTGTATACCAGCGAAAGTTCAAGTTCTAATAAACCGAATTTAAACAAGTTTTAAAATAAAATATATTTCTCCGTTTCTCTTCCATAACGGCATTCGCATAACAGCTTTTGCATATGAGCTTTTCAACAATTTACACATTTACGCGTATGCAACGTGCAATCAAAGCTTTGACGATTCCGAGCGGCGCTCGATTTAAACTAGCGAAAGCTATGTGGCCAAATGGTGAACGAACGTAATGGTAGGCGCTGAATCCTCAGGTGGTCGTTGCGCAAATGCCACACGGTCGGTCAATGCGGCATTGTCAGCCGCCGTGTGCGCCTGTCTGTCCGCATTCGCGCAACAAAACAAGCCGTGAGCCGCGAACCGTGAAACGTGAATCGGGCGCGCTGCAAGGATTGGATTGAAATACGGCCGGTGCACCGAGCGGCTTGAAATTCGGAACATCCGCGTGGAACTTTTGCATGTGCGTGCGTGACAAAATTGCGTTAAATGGGCTAATTGTTTGTTGTCATCCAAATTAGCGCGAGCCTTCAAATTAATTACGTGAGCAAATTGGATTTTGCTTCAACGTTTTCGCTGGTGTCCGTGACCTGCAGTCGAAAAGATCGACCCACGTGCGCCTACCTTCCGTCCCACTCTCCCTCCCCGCTGCGGCTCCTGCCATTCGACCAAGCCAAATGTAAGTTAAACGTGACAGACAGAGGCCGTGACCGAGGCGGAGATGGAGACCGAGACCGAGACCGAGCAACTGACAGACATTCACACACGAGGCATGCAAATGGCGGCGTTGCATCGATATAACCACCTGTCATACACACACACATATACAGATATATGTACATATACCTATATATAATTCATATATACACATGCATTCACAAGTGACTGGCACGAGATGCGCCACGTGCAGTGCGGCGCGACAGTAAAAACAAAGGACATGTTACAGTGGAGCTTCGTTAAAAAGTAATTTGTATCAATTGTCGACAGTTTAGTGCACACTCGAAGCAAAAGCTTAGAATAAGCCGACTTAATTGAATTGTATTTAAATTTAGTATCAGGACTGATGAATATTCGAACTTAATTTCACGAACCGCAGTGCAACTGCAGTTCATACGAACCGATCCTTCTTTGCGAATGTGCAGCCCTGGCTGAAAACATTTTGGCAGCTTTCGAGCACTCGCTTTAGTATTAAAAATAATGATTTTTGCTTTATAGCCTACATTTTGCGCAAAGTGTAAAAAATTGAATTTGAGCCAAAGAGTTGTATGTGTATTGCATCTACGGCTTGGTCAAGGTTATGCCCGCAGAGTGGCTGCCCGTTTCGTCTGGCTGGGCATAGGGATCCTTTTATTAGATGCACATAATTAGCTCAGCTCACTAGCGCACACACATACACACACACACACACAGTGTGGACATGTGCAATCAGATGCTTATCCCAGGGCTTATTGCTGCTGCTCATATTGCCACAGGGTTTCCCTCAACAGGTGCGACAATGCCACGCGCCGGCTGCTCTCACTGATTTCCCACTGCCCGCATCGTGCCATGCAGCTGCCTGCATTATTAATGCTGCACAATGGACAAGTGCATGTTAAATAGAAGGCGGCTACAATGCAAACGGCCCCACTGACCTGTGTGCTAGTGTGACTTAAGCCTTCCAGCTTCCACATCATCATTGTCCCTCAGCCCGATCCCCCTTTCTGGCTGCTGCCTTTGCCGCCTTTCACTGTCGGCCTGTCTCAGTGCCATTCACAAGTTTCAGCGAGCGGTTGCCTGCTTTTAGGCGGCCATGTTTTCATCTGTTCTGCTTTGCTGTTGCTTCTCCCTATTCCCTTTTGTTGTAGCTGTTGTTGTTGCTGTTGTTCTTGTTATTGTTCGTGTAAGTGTGTTTTTGCATGCAAAAACAATATGGCTGCACACTTTACAGTTGTTTATTCAGTGCATAGTCAGGCGCACACACACACACACACACACAGACATTTACACTCTCATGGTAGTGCTTACACACATACATACATATATATTAATATCGATATATTTGCTTGTGTATCTGTGCACTGCAGCGTTTTGTCAGTTAATTTGCATGAATTTTATTTCTGTGGGCGTGTCAAAGGGGCCGCGAGATGGCATGGCTTGAAGTTGTTTTTCATGCTGACTGCACAGGAACATAACGGCAAATGACAATGACAACTGATTGACAACAACAGCAGCAACAATTGCAAGCTACTTTAAAGAGGAAAACGAAATTTACTATAATCCCATCAATAAACAAAGCTTAAATGTAATGCACTTTGAATTGAAAATGTATATTTAATTTGATTTTAATTAAATACATTTCGATTTTAAACTTTTGCCAATTTCTTCTGACTGCATTATTTACGTAACGTTCGTTCGGCATTGTTCTTAAAACCATTGAATTTCGACTATGCAGGATATTGGAATAATAATACATATTAATAATAATATATATTATATGTACATATATATGTACATATGTAGCCGTTGAGCGATCAGCGCAACTGAAGCTTAGCTCACGTGCTTTAGTTTTAGCTCTATTTTGGGTTTCACTGATTAAGCGGACCTCAGACCCCAAACTAAATAAACATGCATACATATATGACATACATATGTGAACATATATATAAATACATAGAATATATATGAAAATCTATATATTGTTGTATTTTATATGAGCCGTTGTGGTTTTTGAAGCATGTGATTTGAATGAACACATTTCGTTTATTATTTGTTTCGGTTAGTTTTTATGGTATAGATGTATATATAGGGCATAATACATTGGAGTTAGAAGCAGAAAGAATGGGTAAGATGAGCTAATACTATCTTCTGCATGAATAGAAGGAACAGCATATGTACGTATATAGAATATATTGGCAATACAAATTAACACATATGTACATATATATATATATATATATATATATATATATATATATATATATATCGATCATTTCCGACTAAGGATAGCTCTAAGAATATTATGGCTAGAGATCTTTAATTTTTGTCATTAAACATGTACAGGATATTCTGCAAGTCGAGCATTGCCACAAGGTAAAACTCAATATTGTGTACAGGGTATACTTCAAGTCGAGCATTGCCAGCAAGTAAAAGTGAATTTTGGAGAAGCCTATCTTATCGTAGTCGAAGTCATTTATGAGATGCACTAAATAAATAGTCAACTACTGTGCAAGCATAAGAAATGGAATGCGGCAAAAGCACGGCCCTTAACCCGATAAGCCGATAACCGATAACAAGACAACTGAGACTAAAGTATATGCTGTGAGTCTTCTAGAGTATGCACCTTGAGGTTGCACTCGGTGGGCTTTATGGAAGTTTTTAAACCAACAGCAAGGTGCCAAAGCCGTTAGATGATAATCGATAATCGATATTTTAGCAATACATATATCTTCAAATGACTACGCCTTGAATTAACGCTTAAAAGGTCTTATAGAACTCCCAAGCAGACGGCGATTCGCCGATAAGCGTTAATCGATAAACGATAACTGACATAACAGTGAACAAGAATGTTGCTAAGTGACCTAAGCGATCGGCAGTACTTCTGTATCGCTTTGTTTAGGCCACCTGAGATCACCGACAGCCGATAACGATAACCGATAGCTGGCTTCATATATGCAGGTGCTTCTTCTATTGCCCAGTTCCAGTTCCGTTTTGGCAATAGGTGAATGGACCAATGAAACGCTATAGATGCATATATTGCTGTGCCCCCACGAATGTATGTAAAAGGTGTCGCCAGCCTTATCGCATCCGCTGGGTCCACAGAGGCTAAGCAGGCTAAGGAGGCGGCCATTGGCATTGGCATTGGTTCGAATGGAATTTGACGCACAGTTGTTGCATTTATTGGCGGCGTGAATAATCTCTGCTAGCTGCTGCATCTCACATTTACAGATAAATATATATATATGCATGTGTGTGGTGTGTGTGTGTGTGTGTAAATTTCAGTTGCTGTCCGAGCTGTTATCACCAGAATGGAATACGAATACATATCTAATTGTTGTGTGGACGATTCTCAGCTGTTGTTGTCGATTTGGGCGAACAAACACTGAATGCAAACACAACAACAACAACAACAACAATACAAATTGTAAATGGGCTAAGCTAACACACACATGCACACATGCACACATGCACACGCACGCACGCACACTCATGTGTATTTGTGGGCTTAAAATAACTGTGCGCCGCTTTTCAAAAATAACTTCAACTAATGTGGGATCTATCGTTCTGTCCAGGAGCGGATCGCGGTTAAACGATGTGCAGCTTGCGCGCCAGACGGCAGAGCTGGCCCCAGATGAACGTGGGCAGCGAACGGGGCGGCGGCGGCGGAGCCGGTGTGCATATGAACTGAGCACGATCCATCAGATCTCGCAGCATGGGCAAACGGCAGATGCAGTCGCCCATCCAGTAGCAGCCGTGCAGCAGCGAGACGATCACCAGCAGTGCCTTGAGCATGCCCCAAACCGAACGTCCGCGCACCTGCACGCTGAGCGATCGCCGGATGGCGGCCAGCAGCGGTGACTCGATTGGGTCCGGATCCTGCGCCTGCTGCTGTTCCTGGATGTTCCCTCCCTCCTCCGTTTGGGTCTGCCCGTCCACTTGGTCGCGAATATGCTCAGCCAGCAGCTGTGCGCGCAGCTGCCTGGCGGCGGCGGCTGCTGCAGCCACCGCAGCCATTGCCGTCTGGGTGCCGATGCTGCGCTGCTCCAGGCTGGCGTCCAGGCTGAAGAGCAGCCTGTCACAGCACTTGCAGCGAAAGTCGGAGTCGATGTCGCAGTCGGAGTCGGTGTCGGTGTCTTCCATTGCGCTGACCTCATCGAAGCCGGGCGGCGGCAGCTCGTCCTCCAGCTGCGGGAAGTTCTGGGCGCAGATCCAGGCGAAGAGCTCGACTGGATTTGTGGGCGCGCGGTTATCGTCGACCATTCGAGCAGGGACATCCCCAGCGACGGCGACGGCGGCGATGCCGTCACCGCTACCGTTGCCAGTGGGCGTGGCAGTTGGCTGTGGCTGTGGCTGTGGCTGGTTCAGCCGGTAGCTCCAGTTGAGATTGTTTCCTTTAGTTTCTTCCTCCATATTCAGATGAGTCCGGTTGCTGTTGTCGTCGTCGTGGTGTTGACTTTGGTGGGCGTGGCTGCATCAAAATATATCAATTCGCCACATGTGTGTCTATATATATATATATATATGTAAATTTAAGTTGTTTTTCTCGCTTCACTTGCTTCACTTACGGAAACGAAATGGAGCAACTTATGTCTCTCCTCGATTTTCCGACTTGTGCTATGCCAGTTTCAGCTCAGCAGCTGAGCCGACGGCTCGAACATCAAAGGCAAAGGCGATGTGATCAACGTTGCCCCGGTTAGGCCCAGCTGCGCTCCTGTGCCTCAGTATTTGCTTTGCTGTGTCTTTGCTGCCTCCATTCACTGCTGTCCATCTCCAATCCACCCATCCTTCACCCCTCAGCCCTCTCCGCTGTATTCGGTTTCGCTCTATTTGCATTTGCCGCATGCAATCGTTATCGATATTTTGCTATCGCTGTGCAAATGCAGCTTATCGCCTGTCTTAGCTCAAATGCAAATAAAGCTGTCCGCAAGGGGCGTGGCAAGTGCTGCTGCTACGGCGGGCTTCTTCTGTTTATGCGCTGAGCTCATATTGACTGTCTAGAACTTAATATGGATAACGATATCGACAAGAGTTATCGATTGGTTATGTTTTTTTTATGAGACTTCTTCTTCTTCTACTCCATCTTCAGAGATATTTTATTCAAATTATTGAAATACTAGATATATCTCTAAAGTAAATGTTGTCATAAAAGATGATATAGCAAGAACTCTTAAGATTTCTGTATATGTAGGCTCTATTATATATAATGAAATGTATAATTTATATAATATAGGTAATGATATATATATAGGATCTTTGATAGACGCTATTCGAATTGGAAATGAGCACATTTATGAAATACAGTTTTTTAAATGTATATAATAGAATCTATATAATATATATGTATATACAAATATACATATGTTGGATAATTAGAATTTTAATTTATTCATATTTTTATTTTTGAGAGCGATCTATATCTTTTTACTGATTAATTAAAAATGTAGGCTTTCCCATCGGCGAGGGACTACTGTACTCGTATAGGAAATCGGAATTCTTATTGGAATTTTAGCAGCTGGTATTTATCAACTGCTCGTGTAATGATGGTCTTACATCGCTGTTGTTTTTCTGTTGTTGCGAGGCGCGACAGCAACAACTACAACAACAACAACAACAAGAGCAGCAACAACAGGAGCAGCAGCAGCAACAGCTCCATTAATGGCGCTTATCAGGCAGCATTACGACGATTGCCGATCAACGATCGACGATCGTAAATCGTGTGACGGCAGCGATCACGGGTTGCGCACCCGCGCCTCGTCCCGCTGCGCTCCTGAATGGGCTAATGCCGATGTGGGGGAGCTGATAACACACACACACACATACACATATATATACACACATACATACATACAAATATATGTATGCATATTCCATGAAATACACTCATAGCAAAGAATCCAACGCTTAACGCTTAATCATATGTGTACCTAGATTTATATATGTATATATGTATGTACACACGTATTTATACATACATATGTATATGCATATATGTATATGTATGTGTCTTCAGCATAAAATCAATTTCCCTTACACTTTGCTACCATTTTAAATAGTTTACCCAACAAATTCACAGCAATTCACGCACAGTGGGTCGAGCTCAGGCTGCAAACTGCAGTTGATATGAAATTTTTTTTTTGTAATCTAGGTTTGATTTGCTTTCTTAAATGTTGTCAATTTCCGTTATCAATTTGTTTTTCTTCTTCATATCATTTATGCTTTTTGTCTGTTGACCATGCTACTGGTGCCACTGTGCAGGCTTCTCCAGCAAATAGATTTACAAAACCTGATACTTTGTTGTTATTAAATAAATCTAAGTTTCTATTATAATCCGTGGCACACCGACACGGCAAATACTCTTAACGCTGCCATAAAGATTGTGCCATAATGGCGCTATAAAAACTTTACGATCTACATATAGGATATGCGAAAACTGTAGAAAAGTGTTTTATCCACATGGAACTTTTTGATTTTATATAGTAGTAAAGTAGTAAAGAGAGAGACAGAGAGAGAGAGACAGAGAGAGGATGTAGTATACATGAAAGAAAAATAGTATATACAGATATATGACGTGCTATATAGATACCCTAGGTTTGCGAATTATATAGATTTAAGATTTTGAGACGCGATCTATAGGTTGGGCATGTCTGCCTGTCATGTCAGAGTAAGAGCGAGAGCGAAAGAGACAGATGTTATATATAGGTATAGTTAGTTATCAGTTATATATAGATTTGGCATTTAGTATGCTCATTCTATATATATGTATATGTAAATACATATACATGTACATACATATGTTAATTAAAATCTAACACTCATCCCGTGGGCAATCTAATTCCAGCTTCTCCACCCACACAGCTCACGCAGCCGCTCCGCCCTGCCCTCATCACGCCTTCCTCCTCCTTCAATTCGCCAAAAATCATTCGCTCTCTCTCTCCTTCTCTCCCTCTCTCCCTCTCTTTCTCGTTCACACTGTCTCTCGCGTTTTCCTATTGCTGATAAGAATATGCATTAACGAAGCGCTGCGATAATAGCGCCAAGAGAGCCAGAGAGCGATAGAGTGGCAGAGTGGCAGAGTGAGAGAGTGGGAGAGTGGGAGAGTGGCAGAGTGAGTGAGTTAGCAAGTGAACGCTCATAATTGGTTGTGCTTGATTTTTGAACCGTTTATTATTTGATTTTTTGTTGTTTGTTCATTCGGCCGCGCATTGACAACGGCAACGGCTGTGTGTCCGTCCCACTCCAGAGGCAGAACGCTATTAACCGTTACACGCCAAGCACAATTAGCAAACGAATTTAAAGTTGAGCCAATATATACAATATACAATACATATATCGATATTATATAGTATATCAAATATTATAATATATATCAAAATCAAAATCATTTGTTTCTGATTTTTTGTTGTTTTTGTTTTGGTTTCGGTTTTATTGTTGTTGTTGTTGTTGCTGCTGTTGTTTTACGATTTGATTTGCCGCCCAGTTTTGAAAAGTTGTCGCGATTTCAGTTCCAAATCGGCAGCTCAGCTACGCGCAACGAGTGCAAAGTGAAGTTCGTCCCGAACCCCAAAGGACATTTGTGATCCATATAAAGAAATAAAGAAGAAGAATTACAGAAATAACTAAAAGTGCAAACGAAAATTTATAAACAATATTCAAACAATTTCGACTCTGAAATAAACAAATAAAACAAAACCTCCACAAAGAGTCAAAGCCAAGGTAAGCCATGTTCAACTCTATGGGATATATATAGGACCTTATCCATAGGGCATCATTATACAATAATATTGAAAATTCACCGTCCACTTGCAGCGACATGCATTTAGTTAAGAACTATCGAACATTGTGCAACTATTTTTAAGAAAAAGCACACAAAATCTCTCTCTCAAAAACGTACTAAAAATATCCCATATATATATATATATATATATATATATATGCATATATATATATAGATATACGTGCACTTAGAGTAGGTGAGTGGGTCTGCTTCGGTGTAAAAGTGCTTGATATGATCGGGCCAAAACAGGGTTCAAGGCCTGATAGAGCCAATTGTGCGCGATTGCCTAAAGCTAATGCCGAGTCGTATAAGCGTTCTTCACATATCAAGTTAAGAATCGTGAATATCTATATACATACATATAGACAGAGTACTTTTTATCAGAAGTGCAAATAATTGTATTCCTTGTGCATGCATTATCGATTTTTTTTTTTTTTTTTTTTTACAATAACAATTGCATTCGATTGCGTTTTTAAAGTGATTTACTTTGTTATTATTATTATTATTGTTGCCCTGCTTATCGAAAGTAATAATGATATTCCCAATCGAACAATATTCGTAGTACTATTTCAATGTAGTGCGAAATAACAAATGATATAAAAATATATATATAAGATAATATATAATATATCAATGTAACATATTTAAAGAAAATAGAATATTTTAAATCAACGTGTTCTTGAGTTTGTTTAGCATATCAATTTTTAGAATTTTTTAAACGATCTCTTATAGAGATATTTTATTATATAGTAGAAAAATAGGTATAAAATTTTCTTGCAATACGTAAATTTATTTCATGTATGTTAAATAAAATTAAAATTAAAACGGAAGAAAAAAATATATGTATTTATACATATATATTGAATTAATTAATTAATATTTAATATTAATAATTTTATTTTAATTTTTAATATCATTATTGAATATTTAAAAATATATTTGTTTCTTTTTTATTATTTTTCAAAATGATTTCTCATTAAAAATCCTTTTTTAATTTGTTTGATTTTTATTTTTATACACATTTTATAAATTTTTGTATGTTATTATAATATTATTATTATTTGTTTTTAATTTTTATTCATTCAACTTTTTCTCAACAATTGACTTCTCATAATTTTTGTTATTTTCCTTTTTTTAAATTATTCAAAAATAAATTTTATTTTTTATTAATTAATTTTTCATGTTTTTTTCTATATTGTAATAATAATAATAATATTATTATTTTTAATTTTCATTCATTCAACTGTTTTTCAACAAACTTAATTATAATTTTCTATTATTGTTATTCAAGATTGTATATTTGCTGAATATTATTTTCAACAGCGATAATAAATTTCACATATTATGGAGATATACAAACCTATATGTATGTATGTATGTATGCGGAAAATAAGTAAAAGGCCACAGTGTTCCATCAAGGCCCGGGCGAGGAGGAGGCTTTTCACTGTCGGCTTTTGCATCGATTTCAGTGGGTCAAGTGCATGGCCCAAATGTTGGCAGCGAGTGGGGCTGGGTGGGGTGGGCAGGTGGGCCAGGTTGGGGTAGGCAGATAGGCAGGTAGAGTGTAATGTGGCGCGAATCAAAGCCAAGGCCAATGCAATTAAATCGTCTGACCGGACAATTCGACTGCATTTATTGTGACAGGCGTGTAAATTAATAAAATGCTAATTATTGCTATCTGTAATGAACAAAGTGCGAGCCCGACTGATAGAGATGGCAGCAGGGCAAGCGAGCGAGCGAGAGAGCGAGTGAGAGAGTGGGAGAATGAGATAATGACAAAGACTCAGGAAAAAAGCGACAAATGCGACAATCTCTTATATTATGTTCTAGAAATCTTGCAGCCTCATAAATGTCATTCATGCACACACACACACACACACACACACACATTCACAAACTCGCACACTTATTTGCATTTCCATTTCCATTTAACATTTGTCAGTTTTCATTGATCATTCGAGTTGATTTGTGAGCCATCGGAACCAGCTGAACTGAACTGACTCAGCCAAGTGAACCCCGACCTAAGCGCCTCGCTCATTGGCTAATTTGGCAGCTCTCTGTTGGTCACTTGCGCGCTCTCTCACTCTCACGTGTCCTCACTTAGCACTCGCAACATATTTGCTATTTGACTCTTTCAGTTAATGAGAAGAGTATATTGGCTTTACGATTGGGCACATAATGAAAGGATCGAATTACAATATATATATATATATATATATATATATATATACCGTATATATGAATAGTAACTGTATCTGAAGCACTGACTTACTATATATTATGTAATGTTTATGTCTACCCACTAGGGGCGTGGCAAGTCAGTGCCTTTCGAGTCTCACACAGCTTGGGGTCTTCAAATGCGCCATAAATTCACACATCCAAATTGGTTTTGCTAAATCTATAGATTCTATGTTACGCCCATTTGGGGCGCGGCACTTCGATTATTGTATACATTTAGCGCTGCCTGCCTGGCGAGCGAGCATGCAGCAGTCAGCGGCGCTCGCTCAGCAGTTCTCTCTCACTCTTTGTTGTTGTTTGTTTTTTTTTGTTTTTTTTGTGCTTCTCTTTGGTCTTTTATCGTTTCATTTTCGGAGGGGTTCAACGACCGACCATGGCTGCCAACATTTACAGTAATCTAACAGTCTGTCAGTCAGCAAAACCACCCCCCGACCTCGCCCCGCCCCCACTCCGCCCTGACTTGGTTGAGCCATTGCCAAATTGCACCTAGTGTGTGGGCCGCGGCTTGGGATAGGTCAGTGTGCCTGAGGCATGCCTCGCGTAGCATAACGGTTCCTAGTCAGTGCAGTCAGTGCAGTCAGCGTGCACCCGCCCCTTAGATAAACCCAAGCAAAGTCCCACTCAACTAAACTGGGAAGCTGTTATCGCTCGCCGCCTGTCGGCGACATCGAATCGACTTTAGCCCGTTCCCATTCGACCAACGATAGAATCAAATGCATAGAGTAGCTCAAAGCTATATAGCATATATATATATATGATATTTATATATGTATATATATTATATTTATATATATCAAATCTACCTTCTATATAAACCTATACCAACTGCATTTTATGGCAGCTCTAATCGATGTGCACTTTCAACAAAAACAAAACATTTATCACTTTAGTTCCATAAAAATACATAATAAAAACAGAAACAAACTAGTTCACGAGCTGAACTACTGATTTGTATACCCTGAGCGTGAATTTAGGGTATACTGGTTTCACGAAAATGTACGCAGCAGGCAGTAGTGGGCGTGGCAGATCCCATAAATTTAATATATTTAGTTATATATATATATATATATATATATATATATATCTAAACAAAGTTAAATTAGCTCTAACCATCCAGCCATCCATCTGTCTGTTCGTGCGCGGAATGAGTGCCATATCAGCTCTTCCCTGAGCTCAGGGTATCTTCTAGTCGAGCAATCACCACTAGAGCACTTTTACTTGTTTCTAATTGCAAAAGGAAAAGTCTATATAATTAAGTTGAGTAACAGATAAATGTTTATATGTATATATATATATATATGTATTATGTATATCTACATCTGCACTATGTCTATTATTATTATTATTTATTATCTCTCTCTGCTTTTGTTTTTTTGTTTATTGAATTTATTGAGTGGGCGGTGCACAAGCATCTCAATCTCTCAATTAGTAACACGCTGCGTATGCGCAATATTCGTTTCATCTTTGCTGCGGCCGCTGCTGCTGCTGCTGCTGTTGCTGTTGTTGTTGTTGTTGTTGATAATCAGCATTTTGTGTAACTAACTTAACCTTAAGAGATTAAAAGCAACGTTCAGTTATCTAGAATATATACATATATGTACATATACATACATATGTATATATCCCCATACATATATATTCATTCGTCTGAAAGTCATGGTCAAAAATTTTGATTTCACTTTCATGGGCAGCCCATGTGCATCTCTCTCTCACTCTATCTCATCTGTCTCTGTCTCTTTCTCTGCTGCGGCTCAGGTACGCCTTGCCAAATTTTAATTGCCTTTAATTGCATAAAGCTCGACGCCGCCTTCCACGTCAGCGAGACGTGACTTCGTCACTGTGACTGTAACTGCGACTCATGAGTCACTGGCGCCGTTTCCTGTTGTTGCCATTGTGAGCTTAGACGCCCCTGCGCAGCGCTCATCAGGCTGCCTAGCGCTTTAGCCTCATATCTCTTATCTCTGCTATGCATTATCCACGCTTCTCTAGTCTATTTTCTCCATTATCTTAACTCTTTTATTCTCTCTATTCTCTCTTTCTTCTTTGCTCGTCTCCTCTATTCTTTCATCTGCATTCCAATCCTTATTCTTCATTCTTCATTCTCTATTTTTCACTCTGTATCCTTAAATCTATATTCTGATTCGTCTATTCTCTATTCTCGTTTCTCACTTCTCTGTTTTTGCTTCTATCTTCACACTTCTCTCTTTTGCTTATTCCCCCATTCCTCTCTCTCTCTCTCTTTTATGTTCTCTTTCTCCTCTTTCCTATTTTTGCCTCTCTTTTGTCCTTTCTCTTCCCTGTTCTCTTCACTTTTTGCCTTCGCTTCTCTTCTAAGCTATCTTCACTAGGGCATTCTCTGGCCGTCACTATCTACTCATTTCCTTGTTATTCTCATATATGTATATACTTTTTTTTATTGTTGCTTTTGATTTCTGATTTTCCTTCTTTATTGTGTTATTTTGCTCGCTGTGCATTTATTGTGTCATTATTATCATCGTTTGGCATTGCTGCAACTTTTGCGCATTGTTTTCACTTGACGGCTGCAACAACAAGTACCAAAACAACAACAACAACAACAACAGCAATGCAGATTGAGCATGCAAGAAATTGTAATATACATATATATGTATATGTATATATAAATTTATGTAGAATACATACATATTCACATTCTATATATATGTATGTATGAATTATGCAGACGTCGCCTCTATAATGCGATTAACCAACTGACGTCAGCCATTCTATAATGAAGAACAAGTTACAACGGTGCAGCTGCCCTCGGTCTATGGATAAGAATCCACTGATGAGCCAAAAACATATCATTATCATTATCAATACCAATATCAATGATAATATTTTAGATTTTCCCACGCTCCACTTGGATTACAGCCCAATAACACTAGCTCTAACACCTCTATAGCTCATTAGTCATCCATATATGAAATAAATACATATATTTATTCATATGCTTCCAAATTCCGTGTCTCATGTTTCAACAACGAGTCCACAACACTTTGTAAACAAGCGAGCATAAGAAAAGTGCAGCAGAAAAATGCATTCGATTTGTAATTTGAGAATGTTTTTTACATTTGTTAAGATGCAGACGAAGCGATTTTTACTTATTGGCATGATATTGAATGATGCAGCACTCCAATTGGAAACAGCGACTGATGGGCAGCACTTGTTGATGCAGGCAAATGGCCTTCCATTGCATGGACAGCACTTCACTTGAGCACTCGACGCGATGGGCAGCACTTTGCTTGAACAGATTTTTGTCGTATTTGACTTGCACTAGAGCATCGCATCATAAATTGACTTGCATTTAAAGCTATCGATTTATTGATATCAATACATATCGATATACATGTAGATACATTTATAGCTCAGTCTCATAGCTGCTGAATCAGTAAGTTTCAATAGATCAGCAGCTTTTGCTTAATGATTATCAGCGCTGTTCGCTTGTTTTTGCACAATTCATATACATACATATATATATATTTGTGCATATATTTATATAAAATATATATATTTAGTTTATTGGCACCAAAACAAGCGCCGAGGGGGGCCTGATAACCAGAGCCATTCTATAAATGAGATTGAATTAAAAATAAAACTTTTGTATTTTTCCCTCTACATTATTTTGATGAGCGAGCGGTTTCAATTCGCATCGTATCATATCATCTCTCGCCCCTTTATCTATCGCTCCCTACATTCTCATTGTTGATCGCCCAGCTCAAGAGGCTGCTGATAGCAACAGCAATATAAATAATAATAATAATAAATAATAAATAAGGGATCGAAGCTTCTGGACTTCGTAGCAATTCCCTGGACAGCTGGCAAGTTACACATTTATTTTCACGTTATGTCGCCCGATTGACGGACGGTTCACTGGGTGACGATTCGACCTGATAACCGCTTCGATTCGGTTTCCCTGCTAGCAGCAAACGCTCAGGTTGGGGCTCATTTATTGACGTGACACTGCATTAAGAAATTGTCAATAAGGCAATTGACTATCAAAATATTTTGAAATGTCTAAATAATGACGAGATATGACGGCGCTTTGCCACGAAATTGGCAGCACTGTATGCTCATTGAATATAGGAAATCATATTTTATGTTTTCTATATTATTAGCACCGGCTCCGAATTGATTTTGCATACTATTTATTTTCTTATGCCACAATAGTCATATATTTGGAATATCTTCAGATATGTTATCAATATTTTAAGATTTATCTTATAGAAAATATAACTAATCTAAATTTTTACTGGAACTTTCTTAAATATACTTTTATAGTTCTCCAGTTTTGCAGCTTTATCTACTTGTTTTCCAGCTTCTAATTGCTCTTCAAATTCCTTTTTATTTTTCAGCCCGGCACAACATGTCGCAGCAGTCGGAATTGCAGCTCAGATAAGAACACTTCTGGATCTGAAACACACACACACACACAAGCACACACACACAGACACACTCACGCACACATATACACACACGTCGTAGGGTGCATCTACGCCAGAGGACACGAACACGTTCCACACATTCCACATTCCATAGAGCACAAGAGAGTATACAAAAATGGTTCACGGACCGCCAGCACGCAGAAAATCACAGCAGCAGCATCAGCAGCCGAATAACGGGAACGGAAATGGCAATGGGCAATGTGAAATGGATATGGATCCCATGCCCACGCCCCCAGACGGAGGCTGGGGCTGGGTTGTGGTCTTTGGCTCGTTCATGATTCACATAGTCAGTAAGTGCTCATCCAAAAGTCAATTAGCCAATACGCGCACTTGAGACAAGTGCTCAAAGGATGCGCACAGTGGGGCAATGCGAGGTCTACAAATAAGGACAAGTCGAACATATGCTCAATGTCTCTTAGTTGAAGCCTTTCTATAAACTAGCTCACAGTTCGTTGTCAAGCACTCCAATGTAGACCTCATGCAGGTAGTACTACAAATTCCAAAGATTGCAAGAAATCAGATTTATAATCTAGTTAAGATTTGATACGAACATATATAAATATAGTCTATCGACAACATTTTTGAGTGTAATCTAATTGATTTAGACGCTATCAGGCTGCTCTACCTGAAAGCACTCGTACACCTGAATAGCTAATGCCTAATCTAGAATCGAATAGATAAGCCACTATCAACATCTATGGTATTTTCGTCTAGCAAAGTCGAAGCTGATGAAAGTTAACTAATTTGTCTCTATTAAACTAATTACAAACTTATAATGATTATTAAAGAACAATTAGAGAAGCAAGAACTTTAATTCGATATGGAGCTATCGCAGTCTTAATAAAAATACATAAGCCATCGTCATAGCTGAACTCACGATTCAGGATTCATGTTCGATAACAAATAATCGCAGAAACTCCTTCAATCTCAACTATCGTCTTTGCTCCACTCACGCATAGAAGAGCGGTGATTTGTATAGAGATGCGCTTGTAGTTCGATAACAGCTTATCGCGATAGTGGATTGAATGAAAGCAATCGCCATTTTGAGTCCAGCTCATTTGATGGCCATTCAATTGCCATAAAATGGCGGCAAGTGCAAAGCGCGTGCTTTTAGATTTGTAAATAGATCAATTGAGTTAACACTTAATAAAATCTATACACATTAATAAATCGAATTTAATTAGTAATTAATTGACATGTGACTATATAAAAAGGAAAATTCCCCCTTTCGAATGTGCTTCAGTTGCGGTTACGATTCAGCAGCTGTATGTAAATTTATACGTTTTATATAGGGTAATTATCAGCTTTTATCCACTGTAAACGCTTTGAATTGAAATCTATTAAAAATATCTGTGGTTGATGCATCAATTGCTGCCCCAAATTCTAGTTGCCAATCGGCATGGCAACCGCCTGGAGCCGCAGCCATAAAGCCATATAAAATGTAGAAAAACTATAAATATATACACATACATATACATACATAGGAATATATGTATATGCAGAGATATATAAGAACCTTGCACAGTTTACGAATCATGGGCATCATAAATACGCGCGTTAATCGTGCAAATCAAATTTGTGAGCCAAGCGCCCGATTACCACTTAGTCATAAAACTTAGTTAGTTGTTGATTTACGATAGGAATCGAGCTATAGATATGGGCGTAGCTGACGAGCCGGTACGAAGGACACGCGGCTTGGCACACATGTAATGGCTAATACATAACCATTAATTTGGGTAATTGGCCAATTGGCAGCACAATCTTATCGACCCATTAACTGGCACGCCATAAGAAGCTTCGCATTGGCAGTGCGCCTTATCTTCGACTAGTTTTGGCCCATAAAAGTGTCAACGGTAGTGACTGATAAACAATCAACATAAAAAATGAATAAAACAAGTAAGAAGACTCTAGTCGAGACTGCTCGACTAGAAGATACCCTGAACCCTCTAATCTGATATTCTAATAATTCTGCATTTTTATGCACACATACATACACATGCATCCACACGCACGCATAAGCCTGCGCTCTGCTAACTGCGCAGTAAGCAGCGACTGCGCTTGGGCTGCGCTGTAGTGTGGGCAACATTATAAGAATTTATTTGTTGAATAATTTAATTTTTAGACGTACAATCTTAATGAAACTTTCAGGGCGTAATCATATGGTGAAAATGTATGTACATTCCAAAGCACAAGTTTCTAGTACTTGAAATACGCCTTATACAAAGGTGAGGGTGAGAGGGTGGATATAGGGGTGGGGGGTAAATAACAATAAAAATCGAAATTATATAAAATACATATAAGTATATATATATTATACATTTAAAATTTGCAAGCTCTAGCTCTAAAGGTGTAGGAGATATAATTAAATAACTAGCTTTCGATAAGGTTTTTAATCGATAATAAAATATCGGGAGTAGTTATCGATATAAAAAGAAAAACTTGATATGCGCGTGATATACACGGACCTAGGAAAAAATTTCAAGTCTCTAGCTCTCATATCTTCTGAGATCGACGCGTTCATACATACGGACGGACAGGGCCAAATCGACTCAGCTCGTCGCCCTGATCAAGAATATATATACTTTGTGGGGTCTGCCACGCCGCCTTCTGCCTGTTACATACTTTTCACAAAACCATTATACCCTGATTTCCCATTTTCAATGGGTTCAGGGTATAATAAAAAAAGGCAAACACAAAAAAGACTAATGCTATATATATATGTATATATATATAGATATTTGGTGAATTTTATTAATCTCGAGCGAAAACTGAATTTCGTCTGGAAAGCCAATTCGCGGACATCAAAAATGATTGCCTACTTGTTGGGGCTTCTCTTTGGCGCGTAGCAACAGGAGAAGAGAGAGAAAGATTGGCTTTAAGTGGCAAAGCTCGTAGCATATTCGAAAAGCGGAATTAGTAAAATAGGAATATAATCGTAGATCTTACGGCATTTTACCTTAACAGTTTGGAATATCGAACTGCGTTAGATTCTGTCAAACTGATATACTAGAGAGACCTCTATTCTAGCTGAAAGATATATGTAGCTTATAGAGATCTGATTACATTTATCTTTGACAACTTAACCCATTCGATAGAAGGCTTATCTTCCCGTACGGTAAGTACGTGTATCTTGAGATATGATAGAGATTAGGATACAAATGATGCTGAGCACTATATATATTTGCACTATATTAGATATGGCCTCGGTAACCCCGTACCCATAGATTCAGGCAGATGCCTAGATCTCTGGTGAATTACGAGCTATCTAAGGGCTAACAATACTAAATGATATGACGTATCTACATATTTTAGCCGATGGCATGACCTACTCCTTTGGCATATTCCACAACGAGTTTCTCACGTACTTCAATGAGGGCAACGGCTACACCGCCTGGATAGCCTCCATAATGGTGGGCGTTACATTCTCCTCAGGTGAGCTCCCATTCCATGCCCTAAACGCTGGCCTCGTCTGACCCTTGCATTGCTTGCTTCGATCAGGTCCCATCAGCTCGTCGTTTGTGAATCGCTACGGCTGTCGAACGGTGACCATTGCAGGCGCCATCCTGGCCGCCGGCTGCATCATCGTCAGCATGTTCGCCCAGAACGTGGCCACGCTGATTGTCACCATCGGCTTCGGCACGGGCCTGGGCTTCGGGCTCATCTACCTGCCGGCCATTGTCAGTGTGACGCAGTACTTCGAGGCGCGTCGCTCGCTGGCCACGGGCATCGCCGTGTGCGGCTCGGGCTTCGGCACCTTTGTGTTTGCGCCGCTGACGGAGCTGCTCATTGGCACCTACGGCTGGCGGGGAGCGATGCTCATCATTGGCGGCGTCGTCCTCAACTGCATCATATTCGGTGCCATGTTCCGGCCGCTGGAGGCGCCACGGCCCAAAGCGCGCAAGCACAAAAAAGCAGCGATCATGGACCAGAATGTGACGCCAGCCGAACTGGAGCCGCTCAAGGCTCAGGTGACTGGAACGAAGCCAGCCACGGATCAGTATCTGCAGCTGCCGCAGCGCCTCGATGCGCCATCCAACGGTGGCAACGGACTCTGCCGCTCCAACAGCGTCGGCCACAATCTCAAGCCCACTTTGGTGAGTATCGCAGCTCAATCCTCTCCAGCTATAGCCTGACTCCATCACTCCATGATCCCGTCATGCAGAACAACAATTCGAATGGCCAGATCAACGGGCAGTCGGTGAATACGCCGATCGCGGTGAAGAGCAACAGCAACGACGATCTGGGACGCACCTATGCCAGCCAGCCGCAGTTGACGCCGCTGCGGGAGACGCATCGGGAGCGCAGCGCCAGCGGCACCATGTATCGCCCGGATGCGCTCTACCAGGTACGGCTGAGACAACAACTCTCTCTCTCTCTCTGTCTTCTGAACTTACTCAACTCACGCGTCTCCTTACAGGGCTCTCTGCACAATATACCGGAGTACACCAGCTCACGGAATGATCTCTCGCACTCGCGCGCCGGCTCCGGCGTCATCAAGCGCTACGGCTCCCTAAGACAGAGTCATCCGCTGGGCCAGAGTCAGGTGAGACCAAACACACATAGTATGTATGCATATATAGGCTCGTGCGATTCCACTTTATTCACGCGTGAGGCTGGCGCGCGCGATACTCCTCCAGCAGCAGCACCACATAGAGCACCAGCAGCAGGGCGAGCAGGTAGCGCACCACCAAAAACTGAATCCTCATGAGAGTTGTGTCTCCCTCCCTGCCTCGGGGCAGTGCGTGCCCGAATCGCTGGACCAGACGCTGGCGGAGCGTCGGTTCGCAGGCATTAGGCTTAGCCACGGGTTCACTCATCTAGGTCGGAATAGAGTTTTTGATAACTTGAACTGATATACTTGAATTTAGCATGTAACGAAATGTTTGTAGTCAACTAATGCCAGAGGCTGCTTAGGCAAGGGCCAGAAATGGGGCTATAGACAGAAAATACAATGTATCTGAGTAGTGCTTACTGTAGCTGTATCTGTCAGATACAATAGCCGAAATTATCTGCATTGCTTTCTGTACTCGAGTCGGGATAGGATCAGACTTCAGAAGCCACAGATCTAGGCTGAATAGTAGGAATGCATAGAATCGTAAAGTGACAGCCGAAGAATCAATCAGATAGAAAGTATCTATCAGATAAAAAGTATCTATTAGATACAAAGTATCTATTAGATACAAAGTATCTATCAGATACAAAGTATCTATCAGATACAAAGTATCTCTAAAATACAAGGTATCTATCAGATACAAAAGTATCTACTACATAAAAATGATCTATCAGATATAAAGTATCAGATACAAAGTATCTCAAAGATTCATTCTGTTTGTTTAGCAAAGTACATATGAAAATGAAAAACATGCACCCAAAGCGTATCAATATATATGTATTGTATATTTCACAATACATTCCAAATGTGCAGAGCTTTCGAGCTATATTGAATAAACTGTATTTAAACGTAAATATATGGAACGTATCGTTAAGACACATTTGAAATTGTTTCAAGTATCTTTGAGATACACTGAAGCTCAGATGAATATTAATTCACACCTCCACTGAAAACATAGCTTCGACTCAATTATATCTCTGTGATCACTTTCCGAACTAGTTCCACCCATGAGAAAATCCACTCAGTTGTTAGTTTTCAATATCAGGATTTATTGAAATTCTGTATAATTTTGAATGTCTCCAAAGTTTATTATAGAAGCATTCGGATTGTACTTTTGCATTTATCGCTAGGCAATCATATTCCCAAGAATATTATATAGTTTAATAAAAAAAAAAAACAAAAAAAAAGTATTAACTTAGATTTAAATGTCGTCCATGGCTAGCCCAGAAAGTGAAACCAGAGCCATCTGAGCAACTTATAGAGCAGATATAAGCGCAATGCATTATAGATAGCATTCTTGCTGCGAATATAAATACATAGAATCATAGAGAAATTATGTATATGTATATATAGATAAAATTTCTTATCTAGAGCAACTTACATGCGCATTATCATCTGGGCTCGAGCCAACGTGCTGGGATCCTCGTTCAGCAGATCATGTCGTATACTCTGGATCATATTTTTGCAGGCGTTTGTAAGGCGCTCCTCGTCATGCGCACTTTCGTACTCATAGCTTATATCGAACTCGGTGCTGTATTCAGGAAAGACAAATAATAATTAATGGTTAGCTAAGGAACCTGACATATTAGATTATGTGTCACATATTATACATCATAGATCAGAGATCAGAATAGAGGTCAGACGAAAGATCAAAGATCAGAGATAGAAGATCAAAGATCAAAGGTCAAAGAACAGAGGTCACAGATAAGAGATCAACGACCAAAGATCAGGGGTAAAAAATCAAAGATCAGAGATCAAAGATCAAAGATCAAAGAACAAGAATCAGAGGTCATAGATCAAAGATCAGAGATCAAAGATTAAATTTCAGAGATAAGAAACCTCAGAGATAGAGATCAAAGATCAGAGATCAAAATAGAGATCACAGATCAGAATACAGATCAGAGATCAGAAGAGGGATACAAAATCAGAGCTCTGAGGTAAGAGATCTGAAATCTTAACGTTTAAGATCTAAGATTTGAGGTCAGGGATCGTTGAGGCTGTAAATCACATTTCGATCGATAGATCACTCACCCTTTGATCTCCTCAATCATGCCCTTAAAGTCCGTTACGCCGGGACTGTCATAGTTGTTGAACAAGAAGGGCTTCATTACCTCCAGCGTGTGGTAGAGCTTACGCTGAATGGCCAATAGTGCCGGTGGGCGGCCGAAAAGCCGCAGCAGCAGGTCAACTAATATAGCCGGCAGTAATTGCTTGGTGATGAACAGGAACTTGTAGACGAAACGATTGTCCGTGTAGTGGCAGCCGGGCACGCCCAGGTTCTTGAGAAAGGCAGCGCTGTACCACAGGTTCTTGATGTCCATGTGCGAGGCCATCTGGATGAACGTATACGGTATGTGTGTCTTCGACGATGTCTGGTATATGAGCAGCTCCTTTGGCGTACTGTTTCAGTTGTAGGAATGATTCCATAAGAGCTATTCGCTAGGGGCACTTGCCATCCCACAGAGTCTACTCACCCCTCGCGGTAGGCCTCGTAGCCGCACTTCGTGTAGTAGATCATGCCAATGATGCCCATGTCCTGCGGCGTGATGTCCAGATACACGGAGCGGCGTATATAGACGGTCTTCAGCAGGCCGGCACCCACCAGCGAAAAGAGACCCATGGCGCCCATCAGCGAGGGCGCGAAGCCAGGGAGCGGTTCGCGCACAGCGAAAAGTACTAGCAAAACACTTTAGAGATTATCAACTATCGAGCAACGAGAGCGGCCCACACAAACCTATCGACGGCCGATAGACGATAACCGGCAAGCGCGTGCGATAATCGTTTATCAGCGATTCGGCCAGATTCTTCGTAAACGTGTAGGTATTAGGAAAGCCCACAATCAATCTGGAGGAATGCATTAGAAAGTGGATTAGGTTGAGGTTCAATTGAGTGAACTGCCGTTGATTGGTGTGTCTTATGGTAATTGGAGGCTACCAGATTCAGATGCTCAGATTCAGTATGGCTCTACTTGGAGAGAACTAGAAAGTTTTCTATATGCAGAGTTACGGCTCGCTTTGAACTTCACAGTTTGAGAGTCACAGTCGCAGTCCCTTTCTTACAAACACTCTCTCTCTCTCTCTCACTTACGCTCTCTCCCTCTCTTACACACCCCCTTTCTCTCTCTAGAGGAAAAGCAAGTCACATTGGGTTACAGTTTCAGAAGCATTGTCCTGATTACGCTTTTAAAGCCATTGGATTGCATTGTATTGAAACGTATAATTTCCATACTTTCTCTGCTCTGTGGATCATCATGTCTATATAGTCACAGTATCAAGCACAGTCTTAGAGTCAAAGCCTATTTAGAGTTTTACAGTCATTGAATTACGGAAATGATTGAATTTCCGCTCTTCCTCTGCTCTACGGATCAACCGGCGTATAACGCGTCAAAGTATTGAGCACAGTTTTAGAGTCACCTCATAGAGCAACACTGAATTGGTTACAGTTTGACAGTTATTGAATTGAGCAAATCGTGCGGTAAAAGTTCTGCTCTTCATCTGCTATGTGGATCTATTTAGTCATAGTATTGAGCACAGTTTTAGAGTCACTTCATACAGTTTTGTCAATGCTTTGTCACACTCAGCTGCCTCTTGTGTAACTTACTTGCGTGTGAGCGTGTCCAGGAGATTGTCGTCCTTGATCTCGTCCAGCAGACGCAAGCATAGGCGCCAGTCCATGGGCGAGCCATACCACTGCAATGGGGAAGAACAAGAAAGAGCTTAGCTGGGGCGAAGTGGGCGTGGACGGGGGCAGCTAGAAACACCCTTTTGGCGTTGACAAAAACCTTGGGTTCCACGCGCTTCAGATACGGATTGCTGAAGAAGGTCGAGACATGGACAAAGATGCGCAGATGACGCAGTTGCTCGGCGAATTTCAGGGCCTCCAGAGTGCCGCCCACGTTCAGCTGGAGGGCAACGCGCAGCGGCTCGTCGAAGCGCACCGTTGCCGCACAGTGAAACACAATCGAGACCTGGTCGAGCTGCTTCAAGTGATTGGGATCGATGCCCAGCTGCGGCAGCGAGACGTCGCCCGGAATGGCAATCAGTTTGTTCAGCTCCTGTGGCTTCTGGGCGCGCAGCACCTGGAACACTTTCGCGTCGCGCAGCTTGGCCAGCCGCTGCTCGGCGTTCAGCTGGCCGCGCGGGCGCAGCAGCACATAGATCCTGCGCACATTGGTCGAGCGCAGCAGCTTCTCGATCAGCGCCTTGCCCACCACGCCCGATCCGCCGGTGACAAAGATCTCGCTGTCCTCAAAGAACTCGCCCAATGTTTGTGTCATTCTCGGGCCAAATGTCTATAGCTTCAACTTCAACTCCAATTCCAATTCCGATTCCGATTCCGATTCCAACTCCGAGTCCAGTTAGGGTTCCCGTTGTTGTCCGTCTCGCGATCACAAACACACTGAGCCCTACCGATGGGCAGCGCCGGCTTAGCGACTCGCGACTGCCAGCCCGTTAAATTATTCATTGGGTCAACGGTCGTTAAACTCACATGAGCTACTTAAATGGAGCGCATTGCAATGAATGTACATATATTCGGGTCGGGCATGTGGAGCTCGCCCCGTTGAACGACGCAATGGAGGCACTCGAGCTCCGACTGGGAGTTACGTATGGCATGCGACCTTGAAACCCATTCTCGTGCTGCGATACCCGAAAAATGAGAAAATTGTTGCATGAACTAGTTCCGAAAGTGCTGAAATATTCAATTAACTAGTTCTGGAATGAACTAGCTAAAATGAACAGAAGTGCATCATCTGTTCAATAAAAATGATCATGTTTAAGACTGAACTAGTTCATTTTTAACACAGATGAAACTCGTTGACTTTCTTGAACCAGTTCTTTACTATATATCTTTTGTATATTATGTTAGTGAGCTAGTTCCAAAGGGGATAAACACTGTACAAGTTGTGACAAGTTCTTTTTTTGAACCAGTTCAAGTGAATTACTTTTTGCTTAAGTTATTTCGCAATAACCGTACAGAAAGAACTAATTCCAAGGAATAATTAGTACCTCAGCGAAGGAATCTAACTCAAATATGAACTAAAGGCTACTAGTTCCAAGAATTATTAGACGCTGAAATAGTTCCAGATACATTTTGATCATAGATCATTAAGGAAAACAGACAGAGATAGTTCTTAATTGATTATGTATTTATAGAGGCAGAACAAGTTCTTTGACTAGTTCCGAAATCATTGTACAGACTCAACTGCTTAAAAACCTGAAATGTCAGCATCATCAATTAGGTAGAGGGAATTAAGAAAATCTAGAGAAATAGACTGTCTATATACGTAAATCTCAAACTCTATCTATATCTTATGCAGCTATAAGAAGAGGTCACCCATAATTGAGCTCGGTTTGTTCTGGTTCCGTTTACAGGAGATGACCAAATGCTGCGGCTGCATCAGCTGCTCGAAGGAGACGCGCGACACGTTCGCCGAAATGATGAACTTCTCGCTGCTGAAGGACGCGATCTTTGTGATCTTCGCCGTGTCGAACTTCTGCACGAGCATCGGCTTCAACATGCCCTACCTGTACGTGGTCTCCCAGGCGGAGACGCTGGACATTAGCAAGAAGGACGCCAGCTATCTGATCGCCTCGATTGGCGTCGCCAACACCGTGGGCCGCATCATCCTGGGCTACATAGCGGACAAGCCGTGGGTGAATCGCCTGCTCATCTACAACGTGTGCCTGACGGCGTGCGGCGTGGGTAAGCCAATTGGACTCCAATTGGATTGGATATTCGTTGATATGCAATCTCTGGTATTTTGGATTTGCAGCCACTGCGATGGTGCCGCTCTGCCAGGATTACAATGCACTGTTGGCCTATTGCTCCGTTTTTGGTTTCACGATTGGTGCCTATGTGGGCCTCACCTCGGTCATCCTGGTGGATCTGCTGGGCCTGGAGAAGCTGACCAATGCGTTTGGACTGCTGCTGCTCTTCCAGGGCATCGCTAGCTTCATCGGACCACCCATTGGAGGTGAGCTGCAGTCAGAGTTGTCCTCATTGATGCGAGACTAGCCTCAATGTCTCAATGTCTCTCTCTCTCTCTCTCTCTTTCTCTCTCGCCGTAGGCTGGATGTACGACATCACGCAATCCTATTCGCCGGCCTTCCTCATGGCCGGCATCATGATCGCCATCAGCGGCCTGGTCATGTTCGCCATTCCGCCGCTGCAGCGCTACCAGGAGCACAAGGCTAAGCAGATGTTCAACTCGGAGCAGCTGGCGCTCAGCTAGCTTGGGATCGGCTGCGGGGACCTGACTAGAAATCATTAGCGTATGATTTACGAGTGTATCTAAACTAATTTTATACTCTCTCTTTTTTATTATTTGACTATTTTTTTTTTTTTTTTTTTTTTTTTTAGTTTAGGTTTTTTATTTTGTAAAGGAAAATTGTATGGAAATTGTGAAGCAGCCGTGCGTTAGACAATATATGTACAATACTAAGAGTAGGCTTAGGTTCGGGGCAACACACACACACACACACACACACACACACACACACATAGCTATAGACATAAATTATTTATAAATCAACATAGCCAACATGGAAAAGGGTTGGGGTAAAAGCACAACAACAACAACAACAACAACAACAAATGAGCACGCAACTGTTGCTGTTTACAGCCCTGCTTGCATACCCTGTTTACAGTGCCGAAGAGAGTATATTGGTGCTCGAAAGGGTATGAGAGAGTTAGCTCTATGTACATATAGACCTACACACACACACACACACATGGAAGCCTATTGGCCACACCCACTGCCAGGCAGCAGAGTCTTCAGTCCACAGTTTGGCAAACAGGAATTGTAAACAGCGCAGTCAGCCGTCGGTTACACCCGTTTGACCCCATTTCCGCTGGGCTCTCTGCTTGGCCTTTTTTATAGTGTTTCCATTGAGTTTTCTAATTGGAAACTCTGTCATTAGCATTACGTTGATATACTCGTGCAGCAGAAGAGACATGCACAAAGGCAAGACATAACAGATTTCCCCACATACACAGCTATACTCTATACTCTATACATATATATATATATATATATACATATATATATTTTAGTTTTAATAGCTCAACAATTTTTTTGTACGTTTATGAAATTTATTAAATTAAAGTCAACCAAAAAATAGACAAGAAATTTGATTTGGTTTTGTGTTCTCTTATTTTTTTTCTTTTATTCTCAGTTTTTGTATACAATTTAAAGCCGATAAATGCAATTTGCAAATCAAAGGGAACAGGCGTTGCGAGTTCACATGGCCCTCTATATATATATATAAACACAATGTATATGTATGTGTGTGGCTCACTGATCGCCAAATATCATTAAATAAACTGAAAGTAAAGCACCTCAGAGGTTAACTTTTATTCTGTTCTGGGTATTCCAATTTCGTGGGGAAATGACTAAAGTCTAGATGGAATCCAATTAGAATTATACTCAGCTCAGCATTAGATGGCAGACTATATATGAATTTCTAATTCAGCTGGAAGTCAACTTCTCTAAGACTATAATAGTTTAATAAGAAATATTGCTGGGAACTAGTTCAGTGTGTAAGACAATTTGGGACCAATTGAACAGGTAAGACCACTCCTAACTAGATCTGCCTGTTGGATTGCTCGAAACTAGTTCAATAAATAATGCCCATCGGAAATAGTTCAGTTTCTAGTACTCACCGGAAAGAGTCGAAATAGTACAGCTCATTGGAACTAGTTAAATTTTTTTTACTTGAGCAAGTTCTACAAGTAATGCTCATCGGAACTAGTTTGGTTTCTAGTACTCTCAGGAAAGATTCATACTATTACAGCTCATTGGAACTAGTTCAGTTTGTGGTACGCACTGGAGCAAGTTCTACAAGTAAAGCTCATCGGAACTAGCATAGTTTCTCATCATTAAGAGTCATACTAGTACAGCTCGTTGGAACTAGTTAATTTTTTTTCCTTGATCAAGTTCTACAGGTAATGCTCTTCGGAACAGTTTGGAGTAGTCATTGGAAACAGTTATACCATTACAACTCATTGGAACTAGTTCACTTTGTAGTGCTCAATTCAACAAGTTCTACAAGTAAAGCTAATCGGAACTAGTTTAATTTGAAGTACTCATTGGATGCAGTAATACTAGTACAGCTCATTAGGACTAGTTCAGTCTGTGAAACTCCTTGAAATGAATTCAATAGGTAAACATCATCTCAACTAGTTTAAATTTATCAGAAAAAGTGGAATACTTCAGCTTGTTACCCTGCCCCGAACTATATACATAGTTCAATAAGCAAACTGGAACTTGATCATTAAGTAAAACTTATTGCGACTAGTTCCATTATTAATGCTTTCTGGAACCAGAACCATAAATATTGTACCTCGAATGGCTCTCATAATACCTTTATTTCTAATTGACTCAATCATGTTGACTAGTGTTATTATCGAAGGGCCTATTGCCTGGGATCTATTTACAATTCGAATTCGAATGTCTGGAATTTAAATGATTTGTTTACGTCACATTTGAGCAGAGCCCGAAGTGATAGAAGCGGAAACACCACGACAGCAGCCCACGTGCCAAGGGGGCGTGGCACTCAGTAAATGAACAAAATAAGTGCAGTTTTGTTGTAGAGCTGGATTTATTTTTTTTTTTCATTGTATTCCTAGAGTGATTACAAAATAGAAGAAAGAGGAAAAAAATAGACACGTTTTACTAGCTACAGCAATTCCATGGCATTCACACACACACACACACGCGCGCAGACACATAGACAACAACACTCACATACACACACGAAGATACATAAACACATATACACATATACACATGCACGCAATGGGTGTCCGTCAACAGTCAGGGCTCACTGTATCTCCTCGTTGATGAGCTTCTTCAGCGTGCACTCGCCGGCGCCCAGCTTATGGAGTATGGCGAGTATCTCCTCGCGATAGCGATCCTTGTGGGCCAGCTCCTCGGGCGTGTACTCCTCGGCGCCGATGCGGGTCATGCGCCAGATGACGTTCAGCTTGGCCTCGATCAGCACGTAGTTGGATGGCGGACAGAAGCGCGGGCACAGCTCATTGATGAAGTGGATCATGTCGCGCACGCTGCACGTGTTGATCCGATTGTTGATCGTGTTGAGGGCAAAGTCCTGGTAGCGCGCCATCTTGGCATGCGGAAAGACGTTCTCGCAGCTCAGGCACCGCCAGTCCGGCTGCAGCGTCTTCGTCTGCACGGGAATGACCAGGCCCTTGCAGCCCTGCTCCCGGCAGAACAGAGCCGACAAATACGTTCCGTTCTCCTGCAATACAACAAATGGAAATCGATCAGACAATGCCGAGCTGACGGCCAATGGGTGCAAGGGTATAGGGGTGAATCCAATTGGATTCCACTTGGCATGAAATTCAAATGCATGCCGAATAGCTGGCAACGCTGTGCCCAGCAGAGACGAGTCTTTTACAACACTGCCTTCTGCTTGCCAGATAGATGTATTTGCAATAAAAGGTGGCAGCAGTGAATTTTGAATTTTGACTGGAAATGGCACTACTGAAAAGTTTTAGATGCAACATGATTTTCTATTTGCACATAAGATAAGAAAGAAACATAATATTCATGAATAATTAAAATAATGCAAATCATAATAATATACGTTTATAGATATTTCGGAAGAGGAAGCAAATGAATATTCAGAAATAATTAAATTTTTTATAAATAATAATGTTCATAGTAAGAATAATGTTCATAATGAGATACAGATATTTCATTGAAAGCTAATATTAGAAAGCTAATAATCAGAAATTATTTAATTAAAAACTATAATATAGCTAGAAATATGTTATTAAGCTAGAAATATGTGTTAAGCAGTTCAGTTCAGAGCAGTCTAGTGAAAGTTCTGCCAGGACTCAAAGAGATTCGCAAATAGGTTCGCTGATTCTTCTAGATAGAAAATTTCACAAGATTATAAAAATGAATAACTTAAGTTAGTTTAAAAATTTAATTCAAAGCGGTGAAAATTAATTTAGCTACATTTGCTAAAGCTACACCCAATGTAAGCATTTCAGATAACTTGTTTTGATAACGGATAACGGTTAAGTAATATTTAAAGCAAATGTTATCAAATTGGATAGTGTTTGTTAGTAGCGGATAATGGTTAAACAATATTGAAAATCAGGAAATAAATTTGATTAAAGATTCACTTTTAATGTTAATTGACTACACTGAATGAACAACATATATGATATTATATGACAATGATTGGATATAAAATCTCGTAGCACATACAATATACGGGAAGGTACAGGAACAGACCAACATCTACTCAACTAGTGTGACTTAACAAGAGTATATTCATATACTTCTTGGGGCTTACATACATATCATCCAAATTCCTATTCAATCAAATTTTTCAGGGCATACGAAATAGAGTTGAGAAAATATTTCCAATCTGAAAAGTTGTCAGAGAATCTGGCAGTTGAGAGAGCCATTCATGTTCACCTGTTCAAGGCACTCACACATAGACACACATACATATCACATATATACTATGTGTATATATTGTACACCATATACTAGATACAATTTGTTGGTTCTCCGCTGTGCTTCTGCTACATCTTTGTCATTTGCATAGTCCGCCCGCATCGGCTAGAGACCGGAATGGCCTAGGTTGCTCTGGGTTGGGTAAGGTTAGATTGGATTGGCAGTGGGGCAGGCGCGGGTACGCGCGGCAGCAGGAGAGCTGTCATACGACTATCAACCACAATGTCGTGGGGGGGAGGGGGTAGGTGTAGGGGGTCGGGGGATGTCATGTCCGAAATTGCGGCAGCTGCCTTGGCTGTCTGTGTCGCCTGGCTGTCAGTTGTGGGTCTGGGTCTCGGTCTGGTCATGTTGCACTAATGAGCCTCACGCTCATGTTCCCGCACTAGTAGATGGAGCACTACCTAGACATATACATACATGCATACATATATATACGACATCTATATCTATATCTTTATATATATATATATATATATATACATATATTTGTAGGTCTGTCGGTTCTGCACCATCAGCGCAAGTTCATGCAAAAATCATACAACTAATCTAATTAAGCGCATTTTTGTCATCTCGTTGCCAAATGCCATTATTCAACTAATCCAACTGAGTTGTGTACATAAAGGTATAAGAGAATGCTAGCCATATAATTCTTATAAGCATAAATATATACATGCAGATACATATATATATATATATATATACACATACAATATATAAATCTGCTTTGGCTTTATGGCAGACGCTCACACGCAGCTGCAGACTCTTTCGGTTCTATTCAAAGATATTTCTTGCAGAGACACAAACATTTCACATTTCAGAAATTCCAATAATTGTTTTATGTCTGGCTAGAGATGACCCATTCCCATTACCATTCCCATACCTATTCCCATCCCCAATTGGTCAATGCTATTTTAGTTACCTATTTCCTGAGCAACTCAGTGGGGCCACTTATGAAACGATTATCCAGCTTTTAGATTTTGATCTTTAAGTTTAAGCAGCAAACGGAAAGTGATCTATGAGCTTAAGATTTACATTTCTTAGCAACTAAACATTTATCCAGCTACAAGAAACATGCAATTTGTAATTATGAAGAGCTCAAACGATAATGTCATCATTTTGGATAAACATTTGGGGCTCCGGATAATAGTTAACTAATATTCAAATTGAAAGACAGAAAGTATTTAAGTGAAAATTATGAAATTTACACAATAAATCAGTTTTAGATTTACTTTGAAATCTCTTGCATAACAGTTAATGAGTAACAGGTATCGAATGATAGCAAAATGAGTGGATTACAAATATATAATCAGCTTATAGTGAATACAACTGTTTCGGATAATTAATTATGACAGCGGATAATGAATATAAAATTAAAGCAAACTCAAAAGTGTCGAGTCTGAAGGATATGAAGCTTAGCCAATTTTAAAAGAACGATTAAGAGTGAGAGCGATTGGTAAAATAGGCTCGTATAACAGATATCACCCAATGAAATAAAAAAAAAATTACTTAATTGATCATATAATAGATAGCAATAAAGGATGATGAATATCAAATAAATAAGTGGAAATGGTGAGCCATATTTTGTTGTAAGACTGACTCAATGGCTATAATGCTCATGTGGATAGTATTTAACGCCAAACACAGAGGGAAATTAACGAATAACAACTATCGTATGATGAAACGGATAAAATATGAAATGCAAAAAGGTCGTAAAAGGTCCTTCGGATAACGATCGATGGAAATCGAATATCGGATATTGGATATCCGGTGATGGAACGCATGAGAGCGGTGAGTCTACTCACAGAATTGTCGTTGCACCTGTCGCAGTTGCACACAAAGTACTTGGTCATCTTGAGGAAAATGCCGCGCGTGAGGTTGCTCCAGAGGATCTTGGTGTAGGTGGTGGTTATCTCGCCGCCCTTGGGTATGTCGCGCGCCGCACGCACCACGGCCAGCCGCCCGTTCTCGAAGTAGTGGCTGGCATTGGGCGTGCACTCGTGGTTCATGATGGCCGTCAGCGGGAAGAGGCCACGGAGCAGCGACTCATGGCCGTCGACCCGGCAGGGCGCCTCGAAGGCGTTCGTATTGAGGACGCCCACGACACGGAACAGCTGATCCATGAAGGGCTTGTCTGTGGTGGGAAACTTGCGGAAGCACTGCGCCGCCTTGATGATCTCCTGGCGATAGCCACGCTCCGCATTCGCCTGCATCGCGTCCACCAGGGCGCGCTGCTCCTTGCTGAGGTAGAAGACGCGCACGGCGGTCAGGATGCGCAGCGAAAGCGGATTCACCACGTCCACTGGCTCGCCCGTCGGCGACAACTCCTTGCACTCCTCGCTCAGATCCTTCGGCTGCCAGCGCTGAAAGTGCGCGCACTCATTGTGGTGCGCCTCCGAATCGGCGCACTCGCCGCACACGGGCAGCGTGCAGCGATGCGGGCAGAGGAACTGCTTGGCACCCAGCAGCCGATGGCAGCAGACGCATGTGTTCAGCTGGGAGCCCTTGCGCGCAGTTGGCCCGACGACCAGGGCGCGCTCCCTGAAGATTAGCTCGCCGGCGGCAATATCCCGGGTGGCGAACACTCCACGGCCGGCGACGGGCGATGGCGCCAGCGTCCAGTTGGGCAGCTCCTCGCGCAGCTCGCCCAGGTGCACGTCGATGAGGCGGGCCAGCTGGTCCGGCGTGGTGCTGCGACTGGGCGCCATGTGGGCGACCATGGCGGCCGTTGTATTAATGCGCTCCACCATGCTCTCTCTGGCTCCCCCTGTCTCCCTCTCACACTCTCGCACTATCTGTCGCTCTCACTCTCTCTCACACACACACACACACACGCACGCACACAGTATCCCTGTGTCTCGCTCCGGCTCTGTGGGTGCGCCTGGCCAGGATCGGCAGAATGTTGCAGCGCAAGGCAGGCAAAGCACTGAGATGACAACGCGTCGTGGCAACGCGACGCGACGTTCGGTTGCGAGTGTTGGCGATTGGCGACTGGCGACAAGACCAGGCGAGCAGCTGGGCAGCAACAGCAGCAGCAGCAGCAGCAACGCCAGCGCCAGCCGAGGCAGCGACTGCGACAGCGACGCCCTCAGAGAGTATTAAACGCAAAAACTAAAAAAAAAAAAAATAAATACAAAAAAAAAGTAAAAGAAACAGAAACACACACACACTCACACACACAAATTAGAGGCAGCAAACAGCAACAACTAGAAAAATATGATTTATCCAAGGCGCGACACACACACACACACTCATGCACGCACACCCGCACTCACACACACACACACACACACTGAGAGTGAGTGAGAGAGAGGGAGAGAGAGGGGCAAAGCCGCTTACGCTTTTGCTTTTGACTCTTATTCAATTTTGTGTTGCATTCAATTGGATTCGATACAGCAACAACAACAACAACAACAACAACAACAACAACTGCTACAACAACAGCAACAACAACTGCTACAACAACCACGCATGACTAGCGACATGGCGTGTTGACGTCCATGACACACACACACACACGCACACACATGCACAGTCTTGCCCCCCCTCCCCTCACGCCATCCTTGCCCTTGCAGCAGTCGCTTTGCTTTGCCTGTCACTTCGATTTGTCATTTCAATTTGTATGACACGCCCCCACCGGCAGACGCCTACTGCGACGCTGCGGTTATGAGCCGCCGCTATAAATACGTAACACTAGCAACAACATAGCCAAAGTGGAAGAAGAAGCAGCAGCAACAGCATCAGGCGCTGCGCCCACGTGGTGCGACTTTCACATTTTTGCGGCTTCCGGCTGGAACCGCAGCGCAGATTTCAGTCTTGCCCCATTTTTATGTTGTGCTGCACTTGGTCACTGAGCGTGGGGCGTGCCACAGCGTTGAGGGACTTCGTGTGTGTGCGTGTGTGTGTATGGGTGCGGGTGTGGGTGGGTGGTTGTGTGGCGCGTGTTGATGCCACATAAATTAAGACATTGCCAAAGCGGATTGCGTGCCGCGTCCATATGACAATGGGCCCAGCCAATGGGCCAAATGGCATCATCATCAGGCACAACGGTGCCGCGACACGTGACCAGGTGGAACACACGCAGGCGACTGCCGCACGTTGTCACCGACCAAAGAGCAGGGCAACAAAAACAGCAAAGAGAAAACATAAACAGAAACAGAAACAGAAACAAGACAACAAGAAGCCAAAATGGGCCAAGCACACACGCACGTTGCGTATACGCCGCATGGGCCACACAAAGAGACAAAGTGCCGCAAACGGTTGGCCCTAAATCTGTTCTAGACACACACACACACACACACACACACACACACACACGCACGCAGCTATCCCTTTTCTTGATACAGGCACAGTCACAGCCACACCCCCAATACGCCTCCACTTTGAATACTTCTCCACACAAATTAAAAACAAATGCACGAAAAAATTAACTAAAGCCAAATATAACAGAAAAAAAATATTTCAAACAAAAACTTGAAAGAAAAAAAGAAACAAGTTTTCTATTTTTCATTCAGTACAAATTTTTGCACAACTTTTATATTTAAAGCACACAAAAAAACATGCATAAAATAGGAGCAAAATAGTTGGCAGCAATCAACAGGGCGCGACTAGGACGATACCCTAGGTATGTGTGTGCATATATAATTGATCAAATAATCTTTAAGAAGTATCTAAATATCTTAAATATCAATATTTTAAATATAATTCTAGTTTAATTGAATTTTGCAGTTGACTGTTCGATTATCGATTTTTATCGATTTTTATTTATATACATATATTTGATATAGAAACGACAGTTATTTAAGCATGTGTAACACTAACAACTTTTACTATACAAAATACAAAATTTAAAAAAAAAATCGATACTTATCGATTTAAGCAAATCAAATACTGTCAATAGATGCATTGATTTGATATTGGTCTAGCTCTTGTCAGCTTTTCCTTCCACAACTCTTAAATGCCACTCACCCGCTTGTCAAGCCCTTTCACAACACTTTGCAGGGAGTATCGGACATATCAGCGCAACCGAAATGTTTTTCTTTTGGCTGTGGACGCACGTCAGTGGCGTTTTGATATGTTTTCTCGCATGTGGCTCGGTCGCGTCTTCGTCGTCCAATGGCCAAAGATTTACAGCAGCGCCCCCTGGCGTGCCGAATGTGCGTGCAAGAGCATCGTGCAGTGTGAGAGGAAGCGAGAGGCTTCACTGAGAGTGCGTGCGTGTGTGTATGTGTGCGTGCGTGTGTGTGTTTGTGTATTTGTACTTGAACTAGTTTGGACCTCCATTAGCTCTTAACCTGGCAGCTTGCCCAGACCCAAAGGAATATGCAATATGACAGACAGCATGACAGAAAGGGTGCGAGGCAGAGGTCTACATATGTATGTATATGTATGTGTATATGTGTGTATGTATGTCGACATGTATGCATGTAAGCATATGCCTAACGGGGCAAGGGATGGACGATTTCATTCAAAATATTTAACACGAACAGCGTCAGCAGCGGGGAACAGAGAACAGAAAGGGCAAGCGGCCGAGCAGGAAAGATTTAGATCGCATCAAGCAACAATTTTCACGTTGGCTCATGGCTCAACAAGTTGTCATTCAGAGGCATTTTGCTGAATGGGAGCGCAATTTGATTGCGAATACCAGACGCTCAAGTGCCAGAACTTTTCATGTATATGTATATTTATGTATGTATGTATGTATGTATGTATGTATGTAATTATAGCTGCATTGGGAAACGACTCATTAGTCGTTGCTTTATTTATTAGTATTTCTATCACAATTACATATAAATTCAGGTTAATTAGTATTCACATTGATTTGGCTTTGGTATTTTGCCATATTCAAATAATCATTCACAATAGCTTGTTTTGGTATTTAGCTGCATTCACATTTGTCAATCATTCACAATTGTTTGTTTTGGTATTTTGGCTAAGCAAACAGTGCATTCAAATTTGAACAGCATTCACAATGGCAATTTTGGCATTCGCCAATGCAGCTAGAGATGAGCAGTGCAATAAATCGATCACAACTATCGCAATTGCATTTCGTGTTTTATATATGTAAATTCAAATAATTTCAACTCAATCATATTCAGTTTTGGTTAAATATTTACTTACATGGGAGCTCAGAAACTTTGGGGTTACGCTTAATTCAGATGTGAAAAGTTAAATTGGGTTGATTATCAATATTTTTGCGAGCAACAGCCAAGCAGCTCGTTTATCCAAATAGAAATCAAGCAACACATTTATTGCCCATCCATTTAGACGCTTTACTTCATATCACAGCTTCAATTGCGAACGAATGGGCTATTAATGTCGGGAGAGTGTTGCTAATACACAGTTGAATGAACCTGGAAGCTCTGTGCCAAGTGCTAAAAATCACACAAAGTGCCGATCAATGGATGGCCGGATGGGCCAAAAACAGATGCGTAATCGTTCACTCGTGTGCGTGTCTATCTAATGCCCTACATTGCGATACACTGGCCCACATAGTGACGCAGATGTAGTTACAAATATAGATACAAATCGAGAAACAGATACAGAGAGCGATCTATATAAAGAGTTATATATACGCATTCAAATACATATGAGCACGTGCATGCATATATATATGTTGAATGAGGTATATCTTAAGGTAGTGCTATAAATATAGATACAAGTCGATATTCAAGTGGAGGGACAGGTGCAGACTCAATAGAGATATAGATAGGAATACAGATAGATATACGATACGCAAAATTGAGATACCAATGGATATACGGATAAGGATATAGAGACACAATGGAAACTCGGATAAAGAAACAAACATGAAGTAAGGATAAAAAGAAAGCTATATCTACAGATACAGTGTTATGGATAAAGGTATATAGATAAGAAAGATATATAAACCGATTTGAAAAAAGATAAAAATATATACGGATAAAAGCAAAGCTATATCCATAGGTAAAAGCACAGATATAGATAAGAATATGTGTACAGATAGGGATAAGAATAATCATGTGAACAGATAAAGATAGAAGCACAGATACATATAGGATAAAGACAGATACGCATAAAGATACAAACATAAGGCGTAGACATATATCCACACAATATATGGATATATTTAGTCATACGGATAAAGCCACATACATATATAAATACAGTTAGAAATAGGGAGACGTTTGCTATTTTAGTAGATCGAATCGCAATCACACACACATAGGCAGAAAAGGCACACAGATATACGCACAGAGAGAGAGAGAAAGAGAGCAAGAGAGAGAGAGAGAGCGCGCGCGAGCTAGATAGATAGAGAGAGAGAGGGAGAGAGAGAGACGCACACAGAGACATCGAGATCGCTTGGTCAACTCACCGTGGGATCCTGACAGCGCGGACACTGGCACATGAAGTGCTTCGTCATGCCGAGAAAGATTTTGCGCGCGAGCGTGGACCAGAGGAGCTTCGTGTAGGACATGGTGATCTCGGCACCCGCCGGGATGCGCTCGGTGGCCGTGACCACGATGGTCTCGCCATCCTCGAAGTGGTGCGCCGCATTCGGCGTGCACTGGTGGTTGAGCAGCCCGGCCAGCGGGAAGAGGGCGCGCGTGACCACCTCCTGGCCATCGATGTGGCAGCGACTCTCGAAGGCGTTCGTATTGAAGGCGCAGACCGTGCGATAGAAGTACTCGAGCATGTCCGGATCGCGCGGAAAGTGCTCGAAGCACTCGGCGGCCCGCTGCACCTCGCGCATGTAGTAGCGGTCGGTGTTCGCCTGCATCGCGTAGAGCAGCTGGCGCTGCGGCTCGCTGAGGAAGAAGCAGCGCACCACGCTGAGGATGCGCAGGGCGCGCGGCTCAATGATGCTCAAGTGCTTGGGCTGCCATTTCCGGAAGAGCTGGCACTCGACGGCGTGCCGCTCAGAGGGCGCACAGTCCGGACAGACGGGCAGGCCGCAGCCGGCGCTGCAGAGCGCCGACTCCTCGCTCTCGCCCGGCGGCTGGTGGTAGCAGTGGATGCAGGTGCGCAAATTGCGGCCACGATGCGCGGTGGGTCCCACCAGGAGCGTGTGCTCGCGGAACAGCTCCTCGCCCTTCTCAATGTTGCGCGCGGCGAACACGCCACGCCCCGATATGGGAGAGTCGCCCACACGCCAGGCGGGCGACGGCGAGCGCAGTGCACCCAAATGGGCATCGATCAAGGCAGCCAGCTCCTGCGTGCTGGCACTGATGGCCATCTGTGGCACATGCTGCTCCAGCTGCTGCTCCATCTGCGCCATGGACTTGGATGGGGATGTGAATGCGAATGCGAATGCGAATGGGAATGGGAAAGCGAATGCTCTCTGATTGGATAATCGAATAAGAATCGAAACGGATCGATCGGATCGAATCGCTTACTCTCTCGAATCGCAACTGACGCATTTCCAATTTGCTATTGCTGTCGCTGCCGCTGCCGCTGCCTCTGCCGCTGCCTCTGCCTCTGCCTCTCTCGCAGCATCTTCGGCATCTCATTAATTGGCGCTGCTGCTGCTGCTCTGTGGCGCTCTGTTTGCCATGGAACAGGCAGCTATAATTAGTCGGGCTTCACTCGGAGCGTGCGACCAGCGCTCTCCGACAGCCCTCTCCAATTTCCCCTATGCCGCCTCCCTTTACCCCTTTGACCCCCGTCCCTTTGCTCCGGCAGCTGCACTCGACTTCCACTGAACCAGCCAGCCAGCCAGCCAGCCACCCACTTGCTGGGCATTATGTAGCCGCCTGAAAGCAGGCAACAAGTTCCGGCCTCGCGTCAGCCGCCAGTTGCAACATGAAACGTTACGTATACGCAGCCAGCAGACGTATTACGTATACGCAACGTCAAGTGCTTCATTAAGGTTCATTGGAGCTGTCTCACTGTGTATGCGTGTGTGTGTGTGTGTGTGTGTCGTTGTGCCTGCATATGACAGGCAGCTGCCAGTTCTCGATGTATTTCATTCAATTTCAATGAAAGGTAACTTTATTAAACCAATAAATATTGCGCGCTCCTGGGGAAGAGCGAGCGAGAGAGAGTGAGGATGAAGCCGGGACATGCGGATGTGCATAACAGCATGTTTATGCATGGATATGCACGTGTACATGTAACTATGTATATATTTATACACTTGCAAGCATAGCTTCACATAGGTATTTAAATAAATCCATTTATATATACATCAATGGAATCATATCACATAGATACATAGATACATAGATACATAGATACATAGATATATATATACATAGATACATAGATACATAGATACATAGATACATAGATACATAGATACATAGATACATAGATACATAGATACATAGATACATAGATACATAGATACATAGATACATAGATACATAGATACATAGATATATATATACATAGATACATAGATACATAGATACATAGATACAAAGATACATAGATACATAGATACATAGATACATAGATACAAAGATACATAGATACATAGATACATAGATACATAGATACATAGATACATAGATACATAGATACATAGATACATAGATATATATATACATAGATACATAGATACATAGATACATCGATACATCGATACATCGATACATAGATACATAGATACATAGATACATAGATACATAGATATATATATACATAGATACATAGATACATAGATACATCGATAAATCGATATATAGATAGATAGATAGATAGATACATAGATACATAGATACATAGATACATAGATACATAGATACATAGATACATAGATATATACATATATACATAGATACATAGATACATCTCTCTCTCTCTCTCTCTCTCTCCCTCTCTCTCTCTCTCTCTCTCTCGCTCTCTCTCTCTTTCTCTCTCTCTCGCTCTCTCTCTCGCTCTCTCTCTCTCGCTCTCTCCCTCTATCTTAACTGATTCCCATGCTCTATCTCTCGGTTTCATTCTTACTTTACAGTTCCTCTATATTCTTCTCTCCATCTCTCTCTCTCTGTAACTCTTAATATCTCTTTCTCTGTATATCACTTGCCATTCAGAAATATCCGTTCTCACGTTGCCCGACCCATATCTCTCATGTAGCTTTCAAATAATATCTGCACATATACAATTTGTAACACTCGATATATAGTTTTATTTCAATTAATTTTTTTTTTTTTTTAATTTATTTATTTTTTTTTTTTTGCTGAACATGAACATGACACATAAACGCGTTGATCATTTTAGGCTTAGTTTGTTAAGGGCTACTACTTCTAGTTAAAAACTATGCAAGTACAATGTGAATGAGGCACTTGAATGCAGCACATCTGGATCTACAGATATGCTCTACACATATATAGTTCCGTTATATTCGCAGATATATGTATTTGATTGTAGTCAAGAGACGATTTAACAATTTGTTTCAATTACAATTTCCTTTCGAGTTTTGTAAATGCTTAAATTGGGATATTGCTGTTGCTCTATATACATTGCACCTGTGTGTGTATGAGTGTGTCTGTGAGTGTGTGTGAGTGTGTGGATAAGTGTGTATATGTATGTACATTTAATTATTGCACGCCTTAAACATAAACTTTATAAATATATATCTGTAAAAAGAAAAGCAAAAGGAGGAAACTAAACAGAGTAACGGAAGCTCAAGAACTTCATTTGCTCTTAGTAGAGCACATCATAAATAAATGTAGAATTCTTTCTTTTTTTGGGGGGTTTTCCTGGAAGAGTTAGGATAAACGTTGAACGGGCATTGGAGTTATTACAGTTATTAATATTAAAGTAGCATCAAATGTGATTACGATTAGTATTTAGTTGTATGTTTTATGTTACACAAGGCACGTTGATGGGATAGTTGGCTCTAACTCTAGCTCTGGATCTGGACTGGCTCTGGCTCTGGCTCTGACGGCCCGGAGTTGGGCGAAGATGCCCCTCACTGATACCAGGGCTGGCGACGCACCCATTGCAGTCGATTGCTGGTCTGATCGGAGCGTATCTTAATGCTGGCGCCCTCAGCAGCGCGCACCGTTTCCTTGACCTGGAATCGATGAAGAGTCATTGGATTAGGATCAACTCCCATACTTGATCATCATTCAGCTACTTACGCTTTGCATCAGATTCTGGGCATTGCCCACCAGCATCTCGGTCGCCTCGCGATCCTCATCGGAGCCCTGGGCGCCCAGCATGGTCGCCTTCACCGTGGACAGGATCTTCAGCTGGGTGCCAATTGTCGGTATGCGCTCGCAGACCTGCAACAGATTCGTTCGGATGCGCCGATCGGTGCACTGGCGCGCCAGCTCCTTGGCCAGGCGGGTGACATCCTCCGATGCCTCGGCAATCATCTTGGCCGTGGCAATCAGCTCACGCTTGCTGCCACGCGAGTCAGAGAGCACCAGCTCGCTCAGCCTGGCCATGAGTTTGGCCATGCGCTTCGCCGCCGCGATGATTTCGTTGTCCTTCGATGACCACTGACGCACCTCCTGGTGCAGGCCGCGTGCGGCAATCTGCAGAAGCAAGCGCATTAGTCTCGGACCCATGGAGTTGCTATTTACCCTGCTTGGAGGCTTACCAGTATGGGCTGATTGGCATGCGGCATCGTGCGGAAGACGCCCTCGTCCTCGTCGTCCGTCTCCGGCGGTGGTGGACGCACGGGCGCCAGGCCCTCGCGCGGCAGTGGGGGACGAGGTGGTGCACGCTCAGCTGTCAAATAGAGAGAGAGAGAGAGAGCGAGAGAGAGAGACAGCATTAGCAATAGCCCAATTCGATTTCATAGACTCATCACCCACCATTTTGATTGGACAAATGCAGCGCACTGAGCTCCGGTATGGGCGGCGGCAGCGATGTGGGCAGTGGCGGCGGCTGCGGCGGCGCAATGGCATCGCGCACCTCACGCACATCGCCCAGCAGACGCTGGAATGATTTCTTCCAGGCGGCAGCCGCAGCCGGATCGGCAATATTCGTGGCCACCAGCTTGGCGTCGCCCACCATGGCGGGCAGCGAGCGCTCCAGGTTGTTGGCGGCCGAATTGAGGCGTTCGGTGAAAATGGGATCCTCCGAATTGTCCGCCTCCTGCTTGGCCACCAGCAGCACCCGATTGATCAGCCGTGCTATGTTCGAGGTGTTGTCCACCATCTTCTGGGGCTGGCGCGCATGGATGGCATCCTCGCAGAGCTTGGCATACACCTGCATATGCTCCTCGGATGTCTTGATGAAGTCAGCCGGATCGGTGGCCTGGTCGCACAGCGTACGCATGCGCAGCACCGTATCCGCATACTGTTGCTTCAGATTCTGCAGATGCTCGTCGGCCGCCTTGCTGGCCGGATAGTTCATCCGAATGCGTCCGGCGTTGATCAGCTGCGGCGTCAGCGAGTCCACCTGGGCAGCCGACGACAGCAGAATCTCGGCAATCTTCTTGTTGCCACAGGCACCGCCCGCGGCGACCATGCGCGAGGTCTTCGAGGCGCGATCGCTGAAGGCCTGCAGATTGTTCGACTTCTGATTGAAGTTCTGCTCCCGTCCGGGCGTGCCCTCCGGCAGCATCACAGCCTCCGTGAACTGTTTGAGCGGTGTGCTCACATCCATGAAGTCCTGCACGATGCGATTGACCAGGGCGTTCTGCACGGCGGCCTTCAGCTCGTACAGCTTCTGGGTCAGCTGCTTGGCGGCCTGCTTGGCAGCTGGCCCGGTGCCGGCCGCTTGGCGCTTGAGGCGCTCCACCTCGTCGCACAGCTGCATGATCTCGGCCTTTTGGTGGCCCGGACAGCCCTCGGCCACCTTGCGTCCCTCCTCGACGATCAGATTGATCGCCCGCTCGCCGAGGCCGCCATCATTGACCTCGGGATTCTGCAGCCATTTGACCGCCTGCTCGAGCCGGCCCTGAATGGTGTGGGCGGTCTGCTGGACGCCCGCCTTGTCCACGCCGGAGACCGCCTGCCGCACCAGGCCCTGGAGCTCGCCGAGGCGCGCCCGTATGCCAGCGGCCAGGTCGACGGCCTGCGGCGAGTTGCCTTTGCCCTCCTGGCGCAGCTCGCACAGATTGTTCGCCATGGCGCTTATCTCGTCCGCCAGCTTCCGGATCGGATACGAGTCCTGGGGCAGGCAGCGCTCCGATATCTCATTGGCATTGTCGATGACCTGACGCAGCGCCTTCTCGCCGACGCCGCCGCGCAGGGCATAGGGATTCGAGAGCCATTCGTTGGCCAGCTCCATTTTGTTGCTGATCGCGTTGCTCAGCTTCTTCAGCACGGTCAGGTTGTCCAGCTCGCTGGTGTCCTCGTCGTAGGTGGTCAGCTGCAGGACTCGTATGATCTCCTGCAGTTCGTCGGACATGCGGGCGGCCAAATAATTGCGATTCTCGGCCGCCTCCTCGGCGCCCTTGCCCTGCTGCTCGACAATGTGTATGTAGACCTTCA